CGGGGGGGGGGGGGGTGCTGGGGAAGCAAAAACGGCGAAGTGTCCGGTTGAAACTTGAAGGATTCGATACATGTCCCATAATTTCAAAGAGTCCGAGCATCATCATAATTTAACACACCCTATACTTAATTAAGGATAAAAGCTAAAAAGAAAGTCAGCCTGGCTAACGACAACTTTTCATTTATCAGGTGATACATCTAGAAATTGCTAAATCAACAATCTAGTTGGGAAAAACTGAGCAAATTGTTTAGATAAATTGGTAACCAAAGATACCACTCATAAGTAACAAAAAACTATTCATGGTCCATAGTTCACTGATTTCACGAAATTGGTAATTTAGCAACAAGCTAACTCTAGGTCAGCAGCGAGCTCCCAATCCTATTATTTTATACTATCAATACATAAAAGTTCATATATCTTTCCCTATAAAGCTAAAAATAAGTTTACTTAATCATCTAGAACAAGGCCAAATGATTTATCTATCCCAGATTTGTGAAGGATTTTGAAAATAATATGTTTGAAGTGTTATGAATACTACATTAGAGTCGTATTATTCGTATTTGACTTTTTCCTTAAATTTCAAACCAGTGAAAGATCAAAGATCGCTATTTTTTAACACCTTTTTTTTTTTAAAATCAACATCATGAGAAATAATGATGTAAAAGGTTCAACTTCCAGAAATGATGTTCACCACAGGGTTTCCCAAAGAAAATGTAGAAATAACAATGAGGCAGAATTATACATAATTTTGAAGGGCATTGGCATTCTTCTGTCCATCATTATTATATAAAGTATAAACAAGTTCCATATTTTCACAAACATGATCTAGATTCACTAGCTTCAGGATATAGAAAAGAGTGTAGATCAAGATAAAGAGAAGCATAAACAAGGGCACTTTTATACAACAGAAAAAATTATTCCAATAAAATGTAAATGTAAAGTCCAAGGCTTTCTAGTTCATTATTTATATTACATCATATTCCAAATAAATTTGAAATGGGCTACACGAATCCTTCCTTTTTCACCAGGATACTTCAATCCATTTATAATGCATTCACCCAGACAAAAGATTAAGCATTACTTATCGAAGTTGCTGAATTATATTTCAAATTTTAGTTATTAATGAATCAACTATTTGTAAACCTTTCTAAATCAGATTATAAAAGGCAAAACGAGTACCTGGCAAACAGAGAGAGCAGTGGCGCGCGCCCGATCCAAGGGCGAAGTATAAACAGAATTGAACTGAATCCCTTGCGATTTCAAGAACACTGCTAAAGCCCTGGCCTGACGCTTTCCATTGGGAGTTAATGCCGCCTCAGAGCAGAGACCCGCGATCAAATCCGGCCTCAAATTCATGTGCCATTCCCCATGACTGATTAAATACACCTCAGTCACCGTCCGGTCGTCCTCCACCGCATCCGAGGAGGAGGAGAAGCTCCTAGAGAACTGCGGCGGTGGCGGCAAAGGCGGAGGAGGAGCCAGGACATTGTAAGGGTCCCATACCTTGATCGATGGGCCCATTCGCGGCGTTCCATAAGTGGACAGCTGCGGTGAAAGTGGAGAAGCCGAAGCGTGGCACGGCAACATTTCGGGCTCTTGTTCTAAAACTTTCTTGACTAGATTATCATCACCCAACATTTGTCTTCTGTCGTTTTCGCTATTGTGTTCGGCTTCATCTTCATCTTCTTGTTGTTCATCTTCTGAGGGTATTTGTATTGACTGTGAAGAACCCATTAGGATGAGGAGAAGGTGGGCCTATTCGGATCTGAAAAATGTATTGAACTGTACGTATTCACCAAATCAGAGAAGCTATGCATGGTCAAGCATCTGGATTTTGAGTAGCTAAGAATGTGAGAATTGAGTGGGTAAGATCTATGGTGGTGGGAAAGTAGATCTGATTTGTTTACAAGAATTAGCTGTTCTCTATGAACAAGATAGAGATACACAGAAGACACACTACTGGATGTACAATCCAAATTGACCAATGCTAAATAATAGGTTAAATAACATTATTCTTCTAAATTTCGATGGTCCAATTGAAATCGCATTTCACCATTGCAACTCTTTCGTTGCCCGCGCTGTTTCTAAATTCAGAATTGGATTTTACAGATTGTCATTGAGAATTCTAAATATACAACTACGAGCCTTTTGTTTCAGGTGTGAAAAAATGTTGATTACTAACATTAATCGAAAAATAATAAAAACTTAATTTTGAAGCTAGAACCAAGCACACTATTGAACCATTTAGATCTTAATTCTAAAATACAAAGTCGAACCAATTTTAATTGGAATTGAATCAAACCGCCTAGTTCATTTAACTTCGATTAATTTTGATTAAAATGTCTAGTTCTATATGTTGACCTCGATTTCCGTATGCGCATGTGGACAACAGATACCGAGTGAACTGCCATCCACGCAAGTTAATTCCAACATGTTTGGACGGAGTACTAGTCAACGAAGTGTTTCGGTTTGCAAAGAAGAGAAGCTTTATAACGCGAGACAAATGTTTGGGCATCGACAGCATATATGAATGGGATTGTATAATAAGAAACAATCGAGAACACATAAATACAAATTTAAGTATCTCGCTCGAATGACGTAGGATGATAAAGCATAAAGAAATATGTAGTCTAGTTTTCAATGTGTATCCTTCAAATGACACAAGGATGAGATATTTATAGTGTTACATATGAAATGGTATCCATTGGATGAGGAGCACATGACTTCATCTCCTTAATCAAAGCATCCTATCTTGGGCATCAATCTGACCTTACTAGTCTATGGCGCTTTTAATGCTCTTAAAACGGGGCAACCCTTCTACGATCAATGCTGACAAGATTTTGACATATTGCTCATGACAGGGGTCACATTAATCATTCGAATAAGGTTTTATTAACAGGAGATCTTTGAAGGAGATGGGTCATAAACAAGCCTCGAATTGAACCTGCAAACCATACATGCTCGACAAGAGGGCTTTGGTTTTCGAGCTTTGCCACTTCAAAGATGAGCTTCGTCTAGCCTTGTGTGGGATGCCACTCCACGTGGGATGCTACATAAGCTTCATGTTGAGTCTCGATGGTGAAGCGTAACAATAGCCTCTCAAGTTCAAGTATGATTATTCATATTATGTATGGACTTGTTTCTTGTGCAATGTGTCTTTGTGGGAGGGAATGTTTTCGTGTGATGATTAGGTTTTGACACAACACAATATTCCCCCAAATTCAAGAATAAATAATGATATCATAGTTGGAATTTGAAATAGTAACCTAATTCTCATATGCTGTCCTGTTCTCATGAACTGCTGAAGCTTATTGTTTGATTTGAAAGAAGGTGAAATTTGATTGATGAGCTGAAGTAGCAAAGTGCTAAACTACGGAAACTTGTTGTTTGAATTGGAACTTGTTGAAATTTGATTGAGAGGCTATAAGCAAAGTGCTGAAATTATTGTACGCCAAATAACATCAAAAGTGTTGGTTTCAGAAGATGGAATGTCTAAATGCTTCTGCTGCGTGAAATATCGTGGTAGAAGCTTTTTGTTTAGTTGATACGGAAGCGGAGTCAGAGTAAATAAACGACTGTTGAAGCTCATTTGTTTGATTTGAAAGTAGCTGAAATTTGATTAATGAGCTGAAGTAGCAAAGTCTAGACTGCTGAAGCTCGTTGTATGAATTGAAAGTGGGGTTGATAATTGTGTCAATGATTTGATATTTTGTATATTACCAAGAAAAGACAACTGGACGGTTCAACTTTCAATACACGTACCATCAGTTACATTTAATGTACAATGACGGTAGTACATTCGAGTTTTAAGGCCGTTGTGAGGACGTGTTTGCGTACAACACACGCATTAATCTCAAACATTGATGCTAAGGCCCATTAGAATTTAACAATTTGAATTTTGTATGAAATGGATGTCATTGATTAAGTGGATCCAGATCCAGTGACTCATATTCACTGGTGTTGCCAATAAAAGGCAAAACTTATCATTTTAATGGTTTTTACTTTGGCAAAAACCCTTGAATCTCTCCAAATTCGAAAATACTCCAGCCATTTCTGTTCTTCAACGATCTCACATTCTTAGAGCTTCCTCTTTCTCTTCAATTAGGTAATTCCCATACTCCTCGACCACTTTTTATTAATCTCTCATTCAAATATTTATCATTTCAATGGTTTTGGTTCGAGTGCTAATGGTAGGAGGAAGCATTATAAGGTAGTGACCCCTAAATCTAGGATAAGCTTTGGAGGGAATAAGTTTCACTTGGTGGGTCGAATAGGTTGTTCATAGGCCATAAGTGAAGAGCCTATTGATTATAAGGCAGGGTGGAGGGTCACAGAAATTGCATCTGTTGTGGCCTCTAAAAAGTTAGTCGAAACTAGAGAAAAATATAGGATCTCAGATTCAATAGAACTCCTAGTACCCAAAGCCACGAATGTGCCTATTAGCTAAGGCCGAAATGTGCGGTTGTTAATGAATACCTATTTAAGGCAATTGGTAGGGGCTTACTTTATCTGAAAGGAGATATTGCTTAGCGAGGACATGCTTTTGCATGTCTTCTAAACAATTTGTATACATGAAAAGGAAGAGTCAAATGGGTGGTATTAAATGACCCCTTGGAGACTCTTTTTGTAATGGGTTTACCTTCCTTCATCAAGGGTGGAATGAGTCCTGGTTTTGGGCAAAGGGTAGATGGCAGATCGTTGAGGAAAAAGTCCCATTGTCACTGTACCAACCCAGTATTCTAAAGCTCGTGAATTGCTTTTTTCAAACTTGTTATTTTCCTGTAATAACTGTAATTGTATTTAATATTGTTTGCTTTGCAATTTCAAGATATCAATTTGAATTGGCCCAGGTTGAGTGGGATGTCATCAGGGACATATATAGATGTCCTCAGAGGTCACGCCACTTCGACCTCCTCATCAAATAAAAACATTTTTCTAGGGCTTTGGATTGATGGCTTCTAAGGGTAAATGTCGAACTTCTTAATTTCTGCCTTGTCTTTTATTGATTCAACTAAAATAGTTATGTTGTCTTTGCTGAAAATTTTGCCAAGAAGAAGTACGCAACCCCTAACATAACTTCCGTTTTGAGGCCACTTCCACTATCAATTCTAGGGCTCTAAAGCCCTTCTCTGGTACAACCAAGCATGTCAGGGAGAAATTAGAGCACCTCAACAAGGACTATGCTAAGAGGAGTGGCGAGGAGGTACCCAAGGAGAACGGCTAAGACAAAGGGAAAATTAGGGAGGAGCTTAAGAAGAAAATTAAGTTTCTCATTCCGCCAACTCTGTTGCCAAGTTGATGTAATCATATTTTTCTGGTACAAAGGCTCAAAGGGTTGGAGAGGCCAATGAAGATGCTACGATGGAGGTGAAGCAGACCTTCAAGTTAATGGAGAATACATCAGTGGTGAGGATCCCTAGAAAATCAAGAAGGTTTATAGCGAGATAAGATGAGAAGATTGTCCCTGCAATGTTGACATGCTGCCATCAGAAGTCTAGGCAACAACTGCTAATTTTTACAAATTTTTGACTGACTGATGTCAAAATTATATATTACCTATGATGCCGTAGATCTCAAGACAATCGTAGTAAGCCAAAGTACCAGAGCTTTTGGGGTCACCCATAAATGTCAGGAGGTGTTGAAGGACATTCGGATGCATAACACGAAGTTAGTTGAAAAATCAGCAAAAGTTGAAGAAGAGGCCAAGCAAGAGAGCGCTGGACATGTTGACGAAGCGGCCAAGTTGAATTCTCCTTTAGCCAAAATTGAGTTTTTGAAGAAGAAGCTCTATGAGTGATAGTGTGATGTGGCTTCTTTGACAAATGAAGTGGAAATTTCTGATAATCATCGAAAGCTTGCTGTTGAGGTTCTAGAAAAGGCCAATTTGTAGAACATCGGCCTTAAGCACCATGCTAGGTTTTTGAAGACTCACTGCCCTACTATGTGAATGTGGTAGAGAAAACCAAGGTTGATGTTCTCAAAGTAGGTGATAGGGGATAAAGGACTACATTGCCAACTTTCACCTGACAGAAGAGTATCGACGCCTACTGATAGATGTTTGCCTATGTCAAGGTAGTAGAGAGAATGGTCAACTCTGTCTAGAATAGGATGCTGCCGAACTGAAGGCAAAGGTCTTAGAAGAAATATCTCAGACCCCAGCTAATGACTTAATGGAAGAGGTACATAGTGTAGAAGTCGACCAGGAGGAAGCTCTTGAGGACAAGCTTCGAACTAAGAAGCTCCTGTTGCTGAGGTGCTTACTATTATGTCGTCGAACTCCTAGCCACTCCGACATAATATAGGACTTTAAATTTCTCTTCACATAATGGTTGAGGCCCTCTTTTGTATATTGGTCTTTATTAATGAAATAAATTTTTCCATATTATTTTAACTTTTTGCCTTTTTACAAAGTATTGCTGCTTCGGTTATACCGCCTCCTATAATCTCATAAAACATTGCAATCATGATCACGTGATAACATAATAGAACTTTCAAATTTGTCTAAGGTAAAATGCCATAATTTTAATACTCCTTTAAGAACTTGGTGTGACATCTAAAACTTCATGGCTAGCATTAATTACCATTTTGAGGAACTTCTCTACATGGTGTATGGTCATCATGTAAGGGCTTTTCCCATGATGTTCAGTTTCATCATGGGACATGTGTGTTGTACACTTCAAAGAATTAAGAGGTAGTACCTTTTGGGATCCGACCCTTTTTTTGGAAACGCCCACGCTTCTCTACCTAGTGGATGGTTTATCAATGTAGGGGCTTCTCCTATGATGTTCAACTCATCATGGGAGGCATGTGATGTAAGTTTTGGAGAATTAATGAGATATTTCCTTTTAGGATTCGACTCACTTCTCCGAGGTACCCACGCTTCCCTACATGGTGAACATTCATATAGGGGCTTCTACCATGATACTCAGCTTTCTCATGGTAGGCATGTTACTATAAAGCCTTCTGAATGAAAAGTACTTATTGAATCATCAAAAATATTTAAATGTGCCGGGAAAAATCTTCCAGCTATACAACTAGTTTATTGGTAATATATTTAGAGGTGCTCTATGTTCCATGGATGAGG